TATATATAATGGTAAAGCGAGAAATTCTTTTGAAGAGTAAACACCTGAGAAGATTTTGAAGTGGACTTCATTGTTATTTTGGTGGAATATACATCTTTAAAGAGTTTGTTCTGGTTTTTGTAAATCTGTTAACAAGAAAACAATTGGATAATGGACTTTGTGCTTGATCTGTGAGGGAAAAGAGCATTAGTAAAGATTTTCCTAATTTTAGAATTTGGGAGTTTGTTTGCTGTAATGTTGGGGACACCGTCTTAAAGAGCTTGTGACATCAAACTTTAGTGACAATCATAAATATATTATTAGAAAGATAACATTAGTAACATATTGTTAAACAGTATACAGAGGATGTTCATTTTGATGTTAGTGACTACATCAAGTTCAAATAAAAAAATATGTATATTATGTGACAAAATAGATAAAATGAGGTATATTGTGCCACATTTCTTAAATATTCAATTTTTTTCATTAAATTTTCATATTTGCATGTTCCAGACACTTTAATAGTGATAATTAAATATATTTTAAAAGCCTTATTTCACAACACTTCATTGTGCTTTGCATGTTGGTGTTTTCTTTTTTTCCCCCAACACATCTTTCAGATCATGTGTCAGGTATTTCCTGGATTTTGATTTTTTTTTTTTTTGTAAGAAATACAGTAGCTTTCAGGTACTGCTTATCTGCTGTAGAGTTGTTTTTAGGCCTGAGCTTTCTACATTTATCCTCCATTATCCTCCACTTACTTTCTAATTTTTATATGGGCTAGGTTTAGAGTTAGGCACACACTGCACAATATCTTGTCCCAATCAGGTACTAGGACTGGACAGAAAAACATTAAATATACTTTTAGTATACAGTATACAGTTTATATTAGTTTACAGTAGTTGTAACTGGCAGTGAAATTAGATCTATGTTAAGCACCAACACGTCTAGAAAGCTCTAACAGTCAGAGGTAAATATAGTCATATGAACAAGTTTACCATACCAAAGTCTGGTAGTCTATGATCAGTCAGCTATCCGTCACAATATATATTTATATCAAAATATAATGTTTGTAAAATTTTATTTTCCCCATCATGTACCCTAAATAAAACAATGTGATTTTATTCTGGTTAATTTTTATAAATGGCATGGCTATTACAAGGTCAAATAGTCAGATGATTCGTAAAAATATTAAATTTCACTTTTAATAAAATACGTTCTTAACATGACTAATTAGTATTTTAACATTTGTTACGATTACGAGAGGTCTGGAATGACCCAAACCTACTTAGTAGGTTAAATGGGCACGTGTTGTTTTGCACGTTCTCATTTTAATCACCGGACCGCCATGTTTTGCCCCAGTCACAACCACAGACTGTAAATAAAAAGCAAAACGCAGCCAGGGTGACGAGTTGAGAGCAGTTCTCCCCAGTCGCTGTGAACCCCACCGGAAAGGGCTTGTGTGGCTTTCAAAATAAAACTGCCTTCACTTTTGTGGCGTACTTCAAAACTGGTAACGGCTTTTATTTTGATACGATTCAAACGGAAGTAGTATTTTGCCGTATTCTGTTTTGATTGTTGTTGAGCGGAGAGGTCCTGTCGTAGCCTGAAGTCTAAAATTAGGGAGGCGCCCCAACTGCGAATGACGCAAGAAGGCTAAAGTGGATGTTGTCGTCGTACCTGTGAGTGAATGATAACACGACTCGGGGGGTCATGGAGACCCTCGGCAGAACTTAGCTTTTGTTGACGACACTGACGGTATTTTTAGCCGCTGCTGTCATGTTTTCGTAACGGCCCGGCCGTGGCGTTCACTATAAAGGACTGTTTCAAAATGCAGCTGTACAACAGTGTGCTGACACACTACCCGAGGTCGTCTCGCCGAGTTACGATTACTGTGTCGCCCGCCCCCGAGCACTTAAACGGGACGACGCGAAGCTCCCCCGAGGTCGACGGAACGGGAATTGCCCAACTTCAGACAACTTCCAGCAGCGAGGCTGCGCCAAACATGCCCGCCTTTTCCTGCTACGAAGCCTCGCCCGTGAGGCCGACTTGCTTCACTTCAACCGCGGAGATATTAATCCGCAAACCCGACGGAATGGAGAGATCCGTGCCTATTCACGTCGTGAGGGAGCCCCCCAACAAGCCCCCTTCTCTTCACTCTCATGCGCTCTGCGGTGACTCTGGTGGGATTGAACTGGTGGATCACGTCAGAAATGGCACGGACGCGATGTTTCCCGACTGTCCCCTGGTTGGAAACCGTGTTTTGAAGAGCAACACCATCAGTGAATCCACAACAGAAGAAAGAAAACGGAAGATGGGGGATTTATTGGAGGATGAAGCAGATTCACTCTGCAGTGCCCCGTTCATCAGCAACGGATGGGCGTCACTACCTGAACTGGCTCCGCCCAGATCAGCCCATCCCATAGACTTCAGAAAGGAACATTTCAGCGATAAGAAAGCTGTCCAAACGAGTCCAGCCTCAGGTGACAGACAGGCCTTTGAGCTCAGTGTCCTGCAGGAGGAAGCTCCGCAGAGAGGCCGGGACAAAGCGGACATCAACGATAAAGTCACCAGGTACCTGGCGGAAGTGGAGAGGCAGAACAAGTACCTCCAGGAGAGGCACAGGTACAGGTACCACATCATTCCAGACGGCAACTGTCTGTACAGAGCCGTGTGCAAAGCCATGTACGGGGACCAGGCCAGACACGGGGAGCTGCGGGAGCAGACCGTGTACCACATCGCCGACCACCTGGACGAGTTCGTCCCAATCATCGAAGGGGACGTGGGGGAGTTCCTAATCAACGCAGCTCAGGATGGCGCCTGGGCGGGGTACCCGGAGCTCCTCGCCATGAGCCAGATGCTGAATGTCAACATTCACCTCACAACAGGGGGGCGCCCGGAGAGTCCCACCGTCTCCACCATGGTGCACTATCTTGGAGAGGAGGATACTTCCAGACCGGCTATCTGGCTGAGTTGGCTCAGCAACGGGCACTATGACGTTATTTTGGACAAGCGTCTCCCCAACCCAGAGTATGAGGACTGGTGTCGACAGTCCCAGATGCAGCGGAAGCGAGACGAGGAACTGGCCAAGTCCATGGCAGCCTCCTTGTCTAAGATGTACATAGAACAAAACGGATCTCTGTGAAAGAGAATCCATTTGACAGTGAATGTTTTTTTTCTTTTGTTACTGAATGAGTCAGAAAAATGGTTCCTGTTTAGTTTCTACCTGCTTTAAATTATTTTTATATGACTTCTATAGTGAGTAAAAGAAAGTGCAGTGCACATGTTGGGGTTTTCAGAAACCAGAATTTCCAGAATATTGTTTGAAAGGATGTGTGCCTATTTGAGATACTTTTGGTTATGTTGACATGAGTGAGGTGTAGATTATCTGAATGGGTTTGGTGTTTACAATATTTATTTGCCCCTTTTTTGGCAAACCCTTTTTTTTCTGGTATGCTTTATTGGCAGTCGCCAAATATTTTTGAATACAGAGAAACCTAGTTTGCTTTTTCACCTTGCTTTATTGTGTGTTGTCTGTTTACTCATTTTTGCACAAAGTCTAATTGGACTTAAGACAGTTTTGATTTGTATCCTGTTCATTTTTAATGATTCCAGTCTTTTTTTGTTTGTTTGACAAAGTATTTTGAAATAAAGGTTTTGGAAGAAAAATCACAGCTGCAGTGAATTTACTTTATGTTTGAGTATTTTTCTCAACTTCTAAACTGCCAGGTTTCATGGATATGGTTTATTCATTCTGCTAAAATGACCTCTGAATGTTCCAAAGTTGTTCATTTTTTAAGAATTTATTTTAGAAATGATATGGTGTGTTAGGGCATAGCTCATAAACCACGATTTATATACAGAATAATTTGTTTTTTTTTACCTGCTATCAGAAGCAACTATTCATTCACAAATTTGCTTTGAGCATGCATGAGTTTATAAATATACAAACACAATGTAATTTTTGTCAGCAGTAAAATCCTCTTGTCACATTGCACACAAAAAGCATGATCAAAAAGCTATCATAATTTAAGCTGTAATAATTTAATCTCCCATCCCCACTTATTTCTAAACCAAATAAAATGTGTAGCCTACATTTTATATAGCTTAGAACGTTTAGTACAACAGTATGTACGTACAAACTACATGCATGTCCTACTGTATGTATTTACATACAGTGTATGTATTTACTGAATTACTGCATGTGTTTACATACAGTAGGATGTTGTACCTCCCAAAAATGCTCTTTACTCCCACCAGGTGGCGATATAGTTCCACATTTTTACAAAAAAAAAATAAAATAAAATTGCAATCGTATAGTGCATTGCTAGATTTTCTCCCGTTTTCCCCTTTTCTTTTTCTCAAAAAAAAAATCGAGTGATAATCAAGCCCTTCTAATTGAATTACTGCAAAATCCTGAACATTATAAAACAGGGTGAAATTATGAAGCTGTACGTTTCAATTAAGAGCTATTTTTCAGATATTGCAACGCTCTTTTAAAGTTATGAACATATTTGTTTCAGTTATTATGCAGCTTAATGCTTTAAATGGCTTTACATCGTGATATTTTATGTAATCATTAATCGTGGCGTTATTATTTATTTTTCCTCTCTGAAAGCTTTACAGAGATGACGTAACGCAGCAGTCCGAGACGCACGAGGCAGAAAGTTTTCATCTTATTTCATGCTGGTGGACAAGAAGAAGTCGTCTCACGCGGACTGTGAACAAGTAGCCGGAGGAGGGCAGGTGAGGCCAGAGCAGATGCGGAGGCTCCGCTGCAGTACTGGCGCAAAACCAGCGCACAGGGGGGGGGGGGCAAGAAGTCTTTAAAAAAAAAGGACGCTCCTCCCTTCAGAGTCAGGAGCGCGTCCGTGAAGGATTCCCACGCGTTTAACGGACCGCGAGACGGTCGAGGCTCGCGCTGGCTGGGAACTTTTAACCGGATACTTTTAAAAACCCACCCGTAGCTACGGAGAGAGGCGGAGAGAAGGAGACGGCAGAAAACATGTCCGGACACCGGGTGCAGTTCGCGGACCTTCCTCCGAGTGAGCACAGAGGAAGCCCCAAATCTATCAGTAAGGACATTCACTCAGAAAACTAAATGTTAAATAAGTCTTTCTTCTTTAACGTGGAAAAAAAAACTCGCAAAAGTTCGAATTGGTACTTTTTTTTTCTTGAAGTTTCATATTTAGGATACTGCAGGGGGGGGGGGGGGCTCTGAATGACAAAAATATTTCTACAACCAGGGTACAAAAAATGAGCAGATTTAATGTTACTGAATGTGTTTTCACTTAACTGGTACATTTGTTTTAGGCTGTTCTTGTCTGATGTGTTCACCCTCCACCAGTGGTCCACTCAGCATCAGGTACCACTTGAAGTGGCAGCTGTCCCTTACATGATACCCGACACACGCTGATAGTCACTGGTGCTCACCTTAAAGGTGGTAATGGACAAAGGTGATTAAAGGTGTAGTCTGAGGATGTGACTGCTGTCGTGGAGAACGTCAGCTGTGCCATGCCTGTGCTGCAGAGTACAGCAGGAGACAGGCAAACAGAGCTCATCTCTCCAGTGACAGGTTCAGTGACTGAACATGTGAATGAGGATGCAATGGAAAATTGCAGAGAAGTGCATCTGTAACTTTTGTTGCATGTCTTTTTATTTTTTTTATATTTGTGATGGAATCCTCGCTGGCACTTTGTCTCTATTTTTTTCATGTTTGCCTCAGTAAAGGTGGACTGGAGGGAGGGAGAAGTGCTGATGTTGGATGCAGGTTAAAGCTCAGAGTGTATGCAGGGCATGTGGGGCTGACGTGTGGAAGGACACAACAGCAGCTTCAGCAGCAGCGAGCTACACAGTCTGACTCAGCCAATCCATTTTTCTTGCTGCTCAGCGTCAGGTGACAGGGAGGTCAACTTTCAGTGTCTTATCCAGCTCAATTATTGCCAAAAAATTATAAGTTTTTTTTTACTGAAATTGAGGTCTAGATTATTTAACAAAATTATTCATCCACTTCGATAACATGAATTTATTGAACACAAACAATGGCTGTTAAACAATGTTTCCCTCATCCCAATCACTTCAGAAAGGAACATTTCACTAGGTTTTAAGGACAAGGGGGGCTTAGCCCCAGTGTGTGTGTGTGTATATA